AAATAAATAAATAAAATCTAAAAAAAAAAAAAAAAATTTAAAATGGTATAAGTCACTTCATATAAAATGTATTAGAGGTGTTCATTGACCTCCACATCACCTTCTTTATCTGCTATGAAAATTGGATACTTTCTTATTTTGGTGCCTTGCCTCTGTACGGTGTAGCTTTAGAATCAAGCAAAGTAAGCTTTAAATCCTAGCCCTGCCACTTACTCCCGTGTGACCTTGAGCAAGTCACTTCACCTCTCTGAGCCCACCTTTTTCATCTGTAAAGCAGGGATAATAATGCCATGTCCAGGCTTTTGTGCAGATTACACATATATGAGACACTAGGCACCATGCCTGACCCACAGTAGGAACTCAGTGGATGTTGTTTTTCCCTTCCTCCTCCCTTCTCACCATTCCCCTTTCCACATTAGATAAAAAGAATCCCTGCTCAGCTCCAGTAAAACTGTTCCTTACATCTTGAGGAGCTCCCTTTCCACACTCCCTCTCATCCTGAGAAACAGAGTTTCAATGTGGCAGATATCATCAGGTGGGAAAGTACTGCATCAGGGGAGCCTGATTGCAAGTCTTGGCAAGTTACTACTCTCTGAGCTTCCATCCCTCATTTTAACTGTGAAGGTAAAAATACATCCTAGAAGATGACCATGAAGTTGAAATGAAAATGTTAGGAAAGTGTTTTGCATACTACAAGATATTCTTCAAATCTAAGTTTCGTACGGCAGATGCTTCCTACACCATTAATTTATGGTGGTTGTTTTTCTTAATAGGCTATCAAAAGAGCTTCTTTTGGACCCTCAACAAACTCTGGTCTTCAAAGTTTGGCATAAAGGAGGTATGAACTCTATTCTGTGAATATCTGTCTGTGAAAATAAGTTCACATCCTGTTGACAATTTCCCAATCCTTTTCTTTTTTTAACCAAGTGAAACCATGGCACTTGTGATGCAGGGGATGCATATATGTGTTAGAGGGAATCTCACAGAAGCCACATTATTCTCCTAGGGAATTTAAATCCTTGGAAGTCATGTCATTTTGTTTGACTACCTGCTTAGTGCAGAAGTCCAAGTACATTTAATCTTTCCAATTGTATCTCAACAGTCACAGCGTACAGCCTGCCATACACAAGTGATTTCTCCCTCTTTGTATGATGTTATACCTTTTATTGACTCTGGCTTATTAACCAAGACCCCAGCATTTTTAAGCAGTACCTAAGACTAGAGTCTTGTTTTAAGAGCCTCCCCAGGATGGAGGTGCTGACATCATGATCCTTGAACCTAGTTTTATTGAGCTACCATTATTAAGAGGCGCAATTCAACAACATCAAGAGCACAGACTCTAAAGCCACATTCTTGGGATTCAGATACCAGTTCTTACCCCTTACAAGGTAGTATGACCTTGGGTGAATGACTTAATTTCTCTTTGCTTCAGTTTCTTTATTTATAAAATAGGGATAATAGTACCTACCTCAGTGGGAGAATTAAATGAATGCCTGATACTTAGTAAAACCATCTCAGTTTTTATCGTTCTTATTAGTGAATGGCAATGTGCTGAGAACTTTACAAACATCTCTAATCCTGCAATGTAAAAACATAATTCGTTCAGTGTTACAAATGTAACACCTGAGGCCCAAGGAAGTTTAGCGGCTTGACTAAGGTCAAATACCTATTAATCAGTGGAGCCAGGCACCTGGGTGGCTCAGTCGTTAGGCGTCTGCCTTCAGCTCAGGTCATGATCCCAGGGTCCTGGGATCGAGCCCCGCATTGGGCTCCCTGCTCAGTGGGGAGCCTGCTTCTCCCTCTCCCTCTTACTGCAGCTCCCCCTCCTTGTGCTTACTCCCTCTGTCTGCCAAATAAATAAATAAAATCTTTTTTAAAAAATCAGCGGAGCCAGGATTTGAACCCAGTTCCGACTGGCTATACAGCCTTCACCTTTGTACTTCACCATGCTAGTAACATTGGCTGGGAAAAGTGAGTGGATGAGGACATCCAGCTCTCTCACTGCTTCTATACTTAGGAAATTTTGTCTTAAGTAAATCCCTCCTATAAATCTAGCTCCTTTAGGATTCTTGCTAGGGCCTAGTTTCCAAACCTTCAGTTGTTTTGAGACTACAGCATTACAGTTTTTATTTGCCTGTGATAAGTTTCAGAGCTAACCCCAGAGCCTCATAAAGACCGGAGAGTAGTCGGTGTGTAAAGGAAATTGACTTACCTATCTCTCTTCTAGTGCTTCTGTTTGGAAATGATGCTGTGAATCCGATTTCGATGATTTGTCCCATGCTCCTGCCTTGGATTCACTTATCATGTCCCCCACCCCCACCTAACCTCATAAATGTGGCAGGAGCTGATCATAAATCCATTTTCTCTGAATCAACACAAGGAATTCCTGCTGTATTTAACTAGGCTTCACCCTCCTCCCTGCCTTTCTATTCTTCTCTTTTCTCTAAAGTACTCCAGAGATTGTCAAGCAGACCAAGGTTTACCTCAATTCAGCACTTACTGTAACAAGAAAAAAAAAGAGTAACTTTGGTCTTATATGGACCTGGATTCAGATTTTGGCTCTGCCATTCACAAATTACATGACCTAAGCCAAACACTTTACCTCTTTGAGCCTTTGTTTCCTTATTAATAAAATTAGGATTATAGTACCTGGCCTACAGGATTTTTATAAGGATTAGAGATAATATTTATAAGATTTTTGGCACATAATTGGTACTTAATAAATGGAGCTATTTTTATTATGCCTACTATGTGTCAGATACTGTGCTAGGGCTATTTGGTATAGAGAAGAACAAAATAAATTCCCTATCTTCCGTGACCCCTAGAGAATGCTGTAAAACCCTGTTGTAAATGGAGATGGGGAAAATGCCTAGACCCAGCTGACCACACTTACCTAGCTCTGTCTCTCAGTAGAGGTAGAGGCCTCTCTTCCCTTAACTCCACCCTTTCCACACAGCCTCAGCTATGCAAGCCAGACCAAGCTGTGTTCAGTGAATATTTGAGTTCCTACTCTATGCTAGGCACTATGCTAAGTGCTAAGGATTCAAAAGTAAAATAAGGCATAGATGGTCTCTGTCCTCATGGAGCTTATGTCCCGGGGGGAAGACAAACAATTGGAGGATAGTATGATGAGGCAAATATAGGGTGTTCTCGTAGGGGATATCTGACTCAAACTGAGGATGTCACAGAAGGCTTCCTGGAGCTGATAAATGAAGGGCATGACATAGTATAGTCAGAGGCAACAGCAAATACAAAAATCTGGAGTAAAGAAAGAGTATGAAATAAGTTTGAGATCATTAGAACATAAAACTACGAAGAAAGAATGATGGGTTGCCCCGCTAAATATGATATTAAACTGAGCTCTTCAAAGCTATTGTTTTTCTCAATGATCACCTTAGCCTGATTTCTCCTCAGGTATGTTTAAGATGTAGTGCTTTCGTGTTAGGAAAAACCCTCAACGTGTTACCTAAAGTTACAATCTATTAAGAACAGGTTATGCTTGGATGACCAAATAAAGCAAGATTATTTTTCTTTGCAAAGCTATAAAAAAATCTTTGGAGTGGAAATTAATGGTTCTAGCCATCATTCTTCACTCCCATTGGATAAGAATTACTTGACTCCTACTCTGAGGAACACAACGTCAAACGTTGAAGGATCTTAAGTTGAAGAGGATCTTGGTTCAGTCCTTCTCATTGTATATGTGAGACTTGAGGTTTGGGGAGTTAAAGTAATGTGTTTTCAAATCAAAGCCACACTCAGATTAGCTGTTGTGGTGCATTGCTTCTTTGTCCCACTCTATGTTGGCCAGTTCATTTGTGTTCTCAGTGGTTGTTTATCAACTTTCTCATCATGTGGGAAGATTTATGCCAGGAATAGAGAGTGTAGGAAACATAAAGCGAATGATACTTGGTTCAGCTTTGAGGTAGGTCCCAGTCTAAAGAAGAGCAAGCTGTCTAAACAAATGTTAGACAGTGTGTAATGAGTTCATTGTCACCAGGGGCATGTACAAGAAACTGGGAAAACTAATGGCCACTCCTTTTAAAAATTTCCAGCTACTTACATGTCAGAAATGAGGAACAAGAAGCAGTGAGTCTGAGAACAAAGGTCGTTGCATGGTTGCTTGTCCAATCAAGAAGGGGTCTTCTTACTCAATAAGGGCAGCCCTGTTACAAGCCTGAGTCCAAGCTCTTATTTTGCACCATGTACTGGTTTTCTAGGGAGAGTTGTCTTTCTTTTGTGATTTATATCACTTTTGTTCTTAATTAAATATAATACATATGTACGTTATAGAGAATTTGAAAAATACAGACAAGTATGAATGGGAAAATGCAACTCCCTCATAATTCCAAGGGTGATGGTCTTTCAAATGATTTCTTTCAAGACCCACTGCCCTGAGGAAAATCACTGAGACGTGATAATGTAGGGAAAAGAAGAATTTGCTGTTTAAGGTTGTTTTCCAATTGCCTATATCAAGAAAACAAAACTGAACTCTGCTAGCTTTTCCCTGCCATACAGAAAGAGAATTTTTGGTAGTGAAAGCAGCCTGTCTCTCTCATTCTCATTATCTGTCTTCTCTGCGAGGAGCCTCTAATGTCAGTGGCAAGACTTGCCCAGCCACGCTGCCCAGCTCTTCTCTTTCCCCCACAGATGAAGAGAGGGTGATTGGCTTTGCCTCGGTGGACCTCTCCCCACTTCTTTCTGGCTTCCAGTTTGTCTGTGGATGGTACAACATCACAGACTTCAGTGGAGAGTGCCAGGGGCAGATAAAAGTTGCTATCTCCCCTCTGGAGAGTTTGATGCACTTCAAAGAAGAAAGACAATCAAGACGTGGGGTGGAGACCCCAGGATCCCTGGTACGTATCCTGATTCAGTCCTAACCAGTAAGGGTTCCGCTGAGCCAAATCTATAAGAAGATCCTTTACATGTGTTTGGTACTTCCCAGCTTGCAGAACACATTATGTATTTGTGTCTCATAATGACCTCATGACCTGTTTAGGGTGATAAAAATTACACAGTGGCGTACATAGTGGAATTATACAGTGGTGATGGATGCACAACTCTGAATATATTAAAAACCACTGAATTGAACAATTTCAAAGGATGAACTTTATAATACATTGATTATATCTCAATTAAAAAAATTTTTTTACTTGAGTATAGTTGACACACAGTGTTACATTAGTATCGGGTGTACAACACAGTGATTGGACAAGTTCATGTGTTACGCTGTGCTCACCCCAAGTGCAGCCACTGTCCATCACCATACAGCACCATTACAATACCATTGCCTGTATTCTCTGTGCTGTGCCGTTTATTCCAGTTATTCCATAACTGGAAGCCTGTATCTCCTACCCCCTTCACTGATTGCCCATCCCCCTCCCCTCTAGCAACCGTCAGTTTGTTCTCTGTATTTATGGGTCTGTTTATACTTTTTTCTTTGTTTATTAATTTCTTTTGTTTTTTAGATTCCACATATAAGTGAAATCATAGGGTATTTGTCTTTCTCTGTCTTATTTCACTTAGCATTATACCCTTTAGATCCATCCATGTTGTCACAAATGGCCGTATCTCAATTTTTAAATAAAGTAAGATTAATTGCAGCATGGAGTTTGAAACCACATTCGTTGAACTTTTTAAAAACTCTATTACAGGGGCTCCTGGGTGGCTCAGTCGTTAAGCGTCTGCCTTCAGCTTAGGTCATGATCCCAGGGTCCTGGGATCGAGCCCCTCATCGGGCTTCCTGCTCGGCGGGAAGCCTGCTTCTCCCCCTCCCACTCCCCCTGCTTGTGTTCCCTCTCTCGCTGTCTCTCGCTCTCTGTCAAATAAATAAAAAAAAACTTAGTAAAAAAATTTTTAAAAAAAACTCTATTACATTAAAATCATTGCTTTTTTTTTTTTTTTTTTTTTTTAAGATTTTATTTGTCAGAGAGAGCACAAGCACAAGCAGGGGAAGCAGCGGGCAGAGGGAGAAGCAGGCTCCCCTCTGAGCAAGGAGCCCAGTGCGGGGCTCGATCCCAGGACCCTGGAATCATGACCTGAGCTGAAGGCAGACGCTTAACTGACTGAGCCACCCAGGTGTCCCTAAAATTGTTCTAACGAAACAGATGATCACAGGGGAAGAAGGGAAAAAAACAAAACAAAATCAGAGAGGGAGACAAACTATAAGAGACTCTTAATCATAGGAAACAAACTGAGGGTTGCTGGAGGGGAGGGGGTGGGGGGATGGGGTAACTGGGTGATGGACATTAAGGAGGGCACATGATATAATGAGCACTGGGTGCTATATGCAACTGATGAATCACTGACCTCTATTTCTGAAATCAATAATACATTATATGTTAAATTAATTGGGTTTCAATAAAAATTTCTGGGATGCCTGGGTGGCTCAGTCAGTTAAGTGTCTGCCTTCAGCTCAGGTCATGATCTCAGGGTCCTGGCACTGAGTCCCACATTGGGCTCTCTCTTCACCGGGGAGCCTGCTTCTCCCTCTGCCTGCCGCTCACCCTGCTTGTGTGTGCTCTCTCTCTCTCTCTCTCTGACAAATAAATAAATAAAATGTTTAAAAAATAAATAGATAAATATTTTTTAACTGTCAAAAAAGTAAAAAGAGAGGGAATGGAAAGAGGGGACTCAATGATAGTAAGTACAGACACTCAGGGAGTTGAACTATAAAAGAAAGAATTTTCCAGACTGTCCCAGATGGGGGAGCTCTATCAAAGCAAAGATCGTAGGGTTTTTTTCATCTCTCTTATCATGCATGCCTGGCCCAGGGTCTGGCAGGGTGGGAGTCAGTAAATATTGAATGCATGAATGACTGCATGAGAAAGTGATGAAGAGTTAAACAGTTGCTGTGGAAGAAGGTCTTTTCACATCAGCCCTGGTAGTCATGAGACAAGAAATACCACAGCCAGATTATCCTCACATGTAAAATAAAATGATATCCAGTCAGGAGTTCACAAACTAGCTGGAAGAGCAGGAGCATAAACAAATAAAGTAACTAAAAAGCAATCTGATAGCATAGTATATAAAATGGGGATAATAATAGTACCTGCCTCATAAGATTATTGTGAAGTTTAAATGAGAAAATGCATGTGAATTGCTTAGTACAGCATTCAACACATAGAAAATACTCAGCAAATTTTATTTGTCTACATACAGTAAATTTTTTAAACACAAATTTACAAATTTATTTATACTTCTTTGTTCCAAAAGGATTTGTGGTGACAGGTATACCATTTTTCTCATTGTTTCTACAGATCCCAATATATAGCCCCTTTTCCTTCCCTGCCTCTGATATGTGTACTGCATTCCCCAGCTGCATTGCAAGATGGACCCCAGAACAACTTGCTCACACCTCATCAAAGGAACTTGATTTCTCCTCCCCTGAGAGGTGAGTGAGTTTTTGATGGGAAGAAATAGAGAGTTGGATGTCTGCTAACTGGTTTGGCATTTCTCTCTTTCCTTTATTGGAGGAACAAACTAGAGACAGGGAAAGAGCTTTGTTGATCTTCAGTCACAGCCCCTGGGAACTCCAGGATCCTATGAAAGCAAATTTTTTTTTATAAGACAGGAAACTAGAACTGTTACTGCTATCAAAAAGGTAGCTTCAGTGGAAAGGACGCTTCTCTCTTTTCCTTAGAGGCCTTTAACCTTTATCCCTAAAATCAGTCATCAGATGTCTGAGATCTTTCCCTTTCCAACCTAGGAACCAGGATATTTTATAAAAAGCAACTGGCCCATCCAGATGCTTCACCACGCCAACCATGGACATGCGTATGGATATCAGGGCGAGAGCATATTCCATTCTCTCAAAGGGCAGGGTCTAGGAATAACACTGCTGCTTTCCACCCCACTCCCTTCCAGGCCCTAGTGCCATTTGTCATCCCCCTGCCTCCACCAGTCTTTCCCGTGTCTATCTCTCTACTTCAGGAATAAGGCAAGGGATCTTTCCCTACAACAGCCATTCCTACAGCAGCAGTTATGAGTAGACCCTTTATTCTATAAAGACACTAACACCACTTAGCCACTCAAAGGCCCATTTCAGCGCTGTGTAGCTCTCTACCTGCTTACCACATGAAGAGTGCCTCTGCCCTCTGTATAAAGGGCTCGCATGTGTCTGTCAAACCCTAGATCACAGGCTTAAATAATTGTTCTGGTATTCTGGTGTAATTTTATGGGTGTTACTTTGACCATAGCCAATCCATGAGACACAGGGAGGATAGGGGTCCTGGTACAACGATAGAAATATAGATTGATGGTGAGGCTGCTGTTTAGTAATTGTAAAAGCTAAGTTTAGTGGTTTGCTTTTTGTCCACATAAAAATATCCCTGTTCCAGGGACGTCTGTGTGGCTCAGTTGGTTAAGCATCTGCCTTCGACTCCCAGGGTCCTGGGATCGAGCCCAACATCAGGCTCTCTGCTCAGCAGGAAGCCAGTTTCTTCCTCTCCCTGTGCCCTCCTCCCCCGCTCATGCTGTCTCTCTCTCTCTCTCAAATAAATAAATAAATAAAATCTTTAAAAAAAAAAAAAAATAGGAACCATGTTCCTACTTCAGGAGGACCATATCAAAATGACATATTCTGATCCAGCTAGCCATCTAAGGCTAACCAAATTGTGGTATATTCCTACAATGAAATGCTACTCAAAAACTTTGCAAAAGGCAATATTGATATACAAAATGAATCTCAAAATAATTAGGTTGAGAGAGAAGCTAGACAAAAGAGGGTACATTGTATCTGATTCCATTTATATAAAATTCTAGAAAACTCATACTAATCTATAGTGACAGAAAGCAAATCAATAGTTGTCTAGGGTCAAGGGAAAATGAATAGAGCAAGAAAAACGGAGGAACTATGAAGGACAGGAGGAAACTTTTAAGGGTGATGAATATGTTCATATTCTTAATGTTTTAATGGTTTCTTTAAGATGTACACATGTCAAAACTCATAATATTGTGGCACAAAATTATGCTCTAATTGGACCAAATGGTCAGTTTTGATACTTCTCCAATAAAGGGCTGTTATTTAGTCAATAATTTTTCAGTCACAACAAAAAATTATAACAAAAACATACCTCATATGGGGTGCCTGGGTGGCTTAGTTGGTTCAGCGTCTGCCTTCGGCTCAGGTCATGATCTTGGGGTCCTGGGATCAAGCCCCACGTCGGGCTCCCTGCTCAGCAGTGAGCCTGCTTCTCCCTCTCCCTCTGCTCCTCCCCACTGCTCATGCTCACTCTCTCTCTCTCTCTCTCAAATAAATAAAATCTTTTTTAAAAATACCTCATATTATAGACTTTAAATATGTGAAATTTATTATATAATGGTTATACCTTAGTAAAGCAGTTCTCAGACATTTCTACTGCAGAACCTTTTTGTACTCTTAAAAATTATTGGTGACCTCAAAGAGGTTTATTTAGGTAAGTTATATCTATCTATTTTTACCATATTAGAAAATTAAACTGAAAAGTATTTTTAAAGATTTATTTATTTCAGAGAGAGAGGGAGAGAGCACACACGAGTGGGGAGAGAGGCAGAGGGAGAGAATCCTCAAGCAGACTCCCCACTGAGTGTGGAACGCCACACAGGGTCAATATCTCATGACCCCAAGACCATGACCTGAGCCAAAATCAAGAGTTGGACACTTAACCAACTGAGCCACCCAGGCACCCCTAAACTGAGAACATTTTAAAATATAATACACAGGGGCGCCTGGGTGGCTCAGTCGTTAAGCGTCTGCCCTTGGCTCAGGTCATGATCTCAGGGTCCTGGGATCAAGCCCTGCATCAGGCTCCCTGCTCGGCAGGGAAGCCTGCTTCTCCCTCTCCCACTCCCCCTGCCTGTGTTCCCTCTCTCTCACTGTGTCTCTATCTGTCAAAAAAATAAATAAAAATCTTTAAAAAAATAAATAAGGGGCGCCTGGCTCAGTCGTTAAGCATCTGCCTTCGGCTCAGGTCATGATCCCAGGGTCCTGGGATCCAGCCCTG